CCCCCCCCCGGTCCCCCTATGTCAAAAAAGCCCGGTCTAGGTAGGGTTAAGCATGTAACTACCAACACAGATGGAATTTTATGACAGAGAAGTTAGTTAGCTAATAGTTTCTCGCTCTAACACTCCTGGCATGTCATATATCCATTTCTACTCTGAACCCAGACCTATGATCTCTCCCAAGTCAACAGCAGTGCCTTACATTAAGCAGTCCTGGCTTGAGTGTCAAGTCCATCTCCTTCAGCGCTTCAGTCAGCTCTGTGTTGCTCATTTTGCCGTCACTGTTGACGTCATACTTCGTGAAAACTGCTCCTGCCATGTCGTCCTGTCAAGGGTTAAAGAATTGGTAAAGCTTCGACAAAAAGACCCCCCCCCCACTCATGGTCCCAATTGATTAGCACTGGCACCGATTAAGTCGTAATTTGCCACTAGCTATGTACTCAAGATACGTGTATATAGGTTAGGATTTTTTTCTTCTTCAGCAAGCATTTTTCTCTCGTCGTCCTGTCACTAGTAACAGAAATACATGCAGTAATAAAAAGAGACGACTCCCTCAAACTTCTATGGAATTCAAATACCATTTATTAAGCTGGCAAAGCCTATGTATTATATACTTTGCAACATTTTTGCTGTTTTATTTAGCAAAGGGGATTCTGTCAGGATATGCTTTCCACCCAAACGTATTTTATTCAACAAAGGGCAGATAATGAGAAGCACAATCTTTTCAACAATCAATCCAAATCAAATCGTTTCACAGATTATCGGAGACGTTAATTATTGTTGAGTATTCAACAATGATACACTTACGTCCTGAACTGGTCAGAGCTAATTTTAAAATTAACTCACCTTATTAGCTGAAGCCATAGCGAAGAACAGAGTTAAATGGAGGAGGATAGTGGACCAAGTCATGGTGCTCCAATGACCGACCCTCAACGAGGTCAAGAGAGAGGTGAGGTGAGGTGAACTCATCAGTACTCGACTGGATTTTGTGTCAGACGTTTAGCAGAAGACAGTATCACGTACGGTAAAGGCCGACCGCGCAGGGTCGGTTTGGTCTGATGATTTGACGTGGTTTAACCACTTTGGGCATGTTGAGATACATCTCATGTTTTGAAGTGCAACAGATTTTGCTTGCAATGCATGCGTCTTGTAACAAGACTGTATATGTATATGAGTATTATGATATCACATGACATCTGAACAGTTTATATTTTATCTTCACTTCCAAATACCAAATTCCACACCACCGATACAGTGGACTGTGACGGCCATTTTCATTTGACGCCAGAGGCATCTGAGAGATTTGTGTTAGTTACTATGTGTAACCTTCACGTAACAAAGGGGCAACGCTAAAAGCATCAAAAGGTGTACTACAGTTAGACATTGTACCGTTGTACTGCAATGGCCCATTACATCACATTAAAGGTGTACTACAGTTAGACATAGTACAACTACAGTTGTACTGAAATGGCCCATCACATCACATCAAAGGTGTACTACAGTTAGACATTGTACAACTACAGTTGTACTGAAATGGCCCATCACATCACATCAAAGGTGTACTACAGTTAGACATTGTACAACTACAGTTGTACTGAAATGGCCCATCACATCACATCAAAGGTGTACTACAGTTAGACATTGTACCGTTGTACTGCAATGGCCCATCACATCACATCAAAGGTCTACTACAGTTAGACATAGTACAACTACAGTTGTACTGCAGGCCCATCACATCACATCAAAGGTTGTCTGTTTGTACTTTAGAACATATTATCTCTAGTCATAGGTGGAGCGCAATGATATTTTGTGTGTATGGAGGTGTCGGCAAAATAGATAAATGTTTAGACTGTAAAAAAAAATTAAAGGTTCTTTGCCAGTTTTGGGTCTATTTCCGATTTTTTATCACTTATTATTTGGGACCAAACACACCACGCAGTATTTTGCATCTTCGTTGGTCCAGAAACCTTCAACTGCAAAGTTGCTCTTCTCCGCCAGATGGCGCACCTGATACTCGCTGTATTTGCAGCTGTAGTTCGGACCTTCTGATAAGTAAAGCCTCTCCCCGGCCGCAAAGTCTATGGTGAGACCAAGCTTTCCTGGAATTAGAATAATGAACTTGTTTTAGTTAAAAAATGGTGGAAATCGGACAGGTGAACAGGTTGGACGACTTGCTACCTTCCTAAGAAGAAGAAGAAAAAGAAGAAGGTCTCCCGTGCTCTTGTCCGAGCGTAGGGTGGTGCCCATCTCCATTTCGTAGCCCTTGGGCGACACACAGTTGTGCAATGCACTACAGCAGGGGGCTAGTCCACTGGTAGCGCTGTGTGTTTGACCTTCCCACAGTCTTTCTCATATGTGCTGAGTGCTAAGCAGAGAAAGAAGTGTGTGCCATTCCTTCCTAAGGGTGATACTAAATACTATTTGCACTTTGATATGAAATTTACTCCAGTCATGAACCAAAGGTGTGAGGGTGGGGGGTGGGGTGCCAGCTCCGTAACGTTAGGTGCCAATGCAGCAGCGACACCTAGCTTCAGTGCGAGGTAGAGCCACTTTTAACAGTATTACTGAATTTCCTAAAGAAGGTGGCAGGCGGTCCAACAAGACGTCGGCAGGTGAAACATCGATTGTTCACAAATATCTTTCTTAACCACCGATTTTCCATCAACATGTTAAAAAAACTTCATATGCTTCTCACATTGATTAAAAAACGTAAACACATCTAAATATGTAATGCAAAGCTTATGTTCAAATTAAAACTTTTGATCCAACACAAATAAATTTCCTCACCTAGAGACTTAACCAGGCACTAGCTCTTCCTCAGTGACCCAGGGAGACTTGTTACGTGACTTCTCTGAAGTTTAACACAGGGTCAAATGTATCTGGTAAACGATGTCGGCCCCCGTCGCGGTTCAGAGAAGGGTGATGGGACTCGATGTAAATATCATTTTCACCCCTCTCAGGAAGTAGTCTTGCTCAGTGTCTACGAGTGACTGGTTGAAAGCTCTAGGCGAGAGAACTTCTTTGTGTTGGATAAAAGTTTAAACGTCTAGATACCAGCACAGGTGAACATTTCTTTTAATTAAACGTATATTTATTTTGGCTACTTTTGACCTATTAAGCACAAGAACACTTACTCAGGTGCACACGTTGCATGGTCGAACTTTTCAGATACTGTTGTACATAGCTGGGCGTGTCCTTGTCAGCTGGGTTCTCTATAAACTCCACGGTGTCGTCAAACGCCATCTTGTCCATGTCTCCATCAAAATCCTAAAAACGTGCAAACAGGCGGGAATTTTTTAAAAGTTCTCATCACACCAAAATATGACCTTATTTGATTGTAATTGACATAACTAGTATGGCTAACAGACACACTTACAATAGATGTCCATGCTTCTCCTGTTATATCCGAATATATAATATAATTTTAAAGCCGTTGATGACGGTTAGACATCCAGGTAAACGATACTCGTAAGAAAATTCAAACTCTACTACTGGATCAGTTAACGGATTTATTTCCGGACGTTTCGAGTGACATCCATCACTCTTCTTCAGCGTCACACATCGTCACACAACTCTCAAGCACATGGGATCCCGCCCTGCCACAGCCCAAGGGACAGTAACTTTTCCTATGGTAATTTCTTACCATAGGAACCTTCCTTACATGACTAAGACTCTTACGGTTGTTGAACAGGTTTTTCTAGTTCTAATTCCTGTACATTGAGTGAACCGTTCTTTTACATGATAAAGCTTCTTACGGACCTTGTTGTTTAACCGGTTTTTCTAGTTACTTGTATATAAGAGTGAATCGGTTCTCTGTTCATTTGCGACGCTGAAGAAGAGTGATGGATGTCACTCGAAACGTCCGGAAATAAATCCGTTAACTGATCCAGTAGTAGAGTTTGAATTTTCTTACGAGTAATTTTAAAGTCAGTACTGTCAGGCAATTTTGCATCTCCACATTTTATTTTTGCATTTTATATATTTTCTCCTGAGCTGATGTCACCCGGCGATGTCAGCTCAGAAAAAAAATGAAAAAATGCAAAAATAAAACACATAGATGCAAAAAGAGATGCTCGAAGTGACGATTGTGAAGATTGCTTCTTCAAAAATTCACTTTTAGGAGGCCGTACAAGCTCAATTTCTCAGTTATCATGATTGGAACAAACTTCATGTGACTATATTGTATGTACACTGCCGATACTTCCGACATAAATATGTACACTTCTTTAAATGAGTAAGACATATGTATGAAGCAGCATAGATGTCAACAGCTACTTAAATTACAGCTAATTTAGAAGACATTTAATGTATAACTTTTTCACTGCTAAAATCTAGAAGTAACAGTAAGAAAAGGATCTCTGTGTAAAGGGCTGTGAATTTTCTACAAATTAAAGTAAATACCATATCTCATGTCAAACACTTCACTAACAGGGTGGTACATTTGGTAAAAACTAGATAATTACAATTCAAGGCCAATGCAGTATCCATATGTTTTTTATGATTGTTATTTATAGTTGTTAAGACTTTTTAACCGAAGTGCGATAACCACCCAATAAACCACCGAGTGAGCATAGCGAACAGGGAACTACAATACGTTTTAGTAGACAAATACTACACGTCTTAACAATACTACTGTATTAGTGTTCTGTCCCCCGCATAATGGTACGGTCCCGGGTCCAGAGGACCCGGGTTCGAGTCCTGACATGCCACCGATCTTGTGCCCTTGGGAAAGGCACTTTACACGACTTTCCTCACTTCGCTCAGGTGTAAATGAGTATTGTACTGTCCCTGTGTTGGTGGCGGCATTAACCCTCAACAGTACACCTTCCCGGACTGATTAATCTGTACACCTGGGGTCCGCGCGGACCCCAGAGCAGTTTTTTGTTAATTTTTAGAAATTATCAACATGCTACCAGCTCAATTGTTTTGCATACTGATGTGGGAACCTCTGTGTCCACATTACATACAAAAATCATACATTTTGAACTTTTTCTATTTTTTGGTGAAGAAAAGAAGACAAGAAGAAATACCCGATTTTTAAACCCATTTCAGACTGAAGGGGCTTTTGAGGCCCAACTTTGATCTCAGATAGCGGCTAAACGGCTTGCGCTAGAAGTATCAAATTTGTAGACCTTTCCTAAAATGTCTCTGGAAAAAAGTTCATATTAGTTTGATACTAGTAAGTTGATGTGTTTTTGTGTTGCCATGGCAAAGGGTAGTTTTTTGAAAATAGAAGTAATTTTGGTTTAAACATAAAAATTTTCTGAGTTTTATATAAAATTACACTTCTTTTCCAACATTAATAACATCTTACATAATTGAATATAAGTTAAATCATTTAATATGCATAGAATATGCTAATTTGATGACGTCATTGGTCAAAATCCAATATGGCGGACTATATTATTAGCTCTGACGTCATATGACGTCATAATTACACCAAAGTTATTAAAATTTAATTCTATTACAACACCATTCTCTGAAAACTTGGTAGACATACGATGAATGCATAAAAACATATAAAAACGGAAATAAGGTAATGTATAAGAACGCCAGTGTATCCATTATGATCGAAAGCCGGCTGGGGTCCGCGCGGACCCCAAAAGAAAATCAGATATAATTCTTTTTATTAATGGTAGAAACGGAGTTTTCTGCACTGTATTAAGAGACAACTTTGTGGGTGACAATTACCTAAAATTTCAGAAAAAAATCCTTAAAAACAAAAAAGATATTACAGAATATATAGTGCTGGGGTCCGCGCGGACCCCAGGTGTACTGTTCAGGGTTGATATAAGTTGAAAAAACTTGAGTGTGCCCTCAAAACGTCTTGTGATTACATGTTTCGGAATATTTAAAAAAATGGTACGGTCCATAAAGTGGTCGGTTATTCCAATAACCGACCACTTTTCAGGTTGCGGCCAGATAACCAATTGGAAATGGAGCCTTCTGATTGGTCAATGTCTTCTAGGTATATGATAGTAGTATAGTATAGCATAGACTGTTTCAAACGGCAAAATGATCATTTATGATGATACCATCTACATTTTCCAGCAAACCTTATTCAGGCGTTCGACGAAGTTGTCCAGCCATGGACATCGCTTATGTTCGGCAACATAAGCCCTGATGACGGCCTCACGGTCCGTGTTCATGTCCAGCCCTAGCACGAGCCGGTCCTGGGCTAAATGCCAGAAGACATAAAAAGTGCGAGATAGTCTTAATAACTTCGTTTATCTATTATGTGCATTTGAATTGTGATGTATTAGGTTATGTTATGTTTTATTCTACATTAGGTCTTATTCAACACATTTTCTACTTGTTTGTTATATTTGTACCTTGCCATGCATTGTACTATGTGCAATTGTCGCGCAATAAAGTTCTTCTGTATTATAAGTAACATTTCAGAGATGAAGGCAAGTAGCCGATTTTACACGTACTTACATTAAAAAAAATGCCCATTGCCTTCAACTTGATTGCAAATCTTAGAGTGTCTACACTACAATTTTTACAGTACTGTTTCATCCAACACATGGCGCTACACAACCTGGGAATTTTACCTACCGACGTAAAGCATCATTCGGATGTAAAAACGATAAATAACTGATATATCTCCTTAATTACAGAATGTAATAATACTCTTCTTAGTAAAACACAATAGATTAGCTTTAGTATCATTATGTACTAGCCCGTTAGAATTATATCTTAGTATTAGTTCGTGTATGTACCCTTGTTGTTTCTTCTTAGCCATACATTGTACCAGCTACAGTTGTTGAGCAATAAAGTTGATTTGATTTGTATTACGAAGTAAAATATACCTGTGAGATATGCATTTATTTCCTCCAGCATGGGGAGCTGCTCATCAACAGGGACGTTACCGAAACTGCTGCCGAGGAACAGGAGTAGTTTGGTCTCCGTGCGGCTGGCGACATGGCGGCATCCGTCCATGTACAGACCCCCGAACGGCTCTACCTTTAGATTACTGTACTCTCGCTCCAGCTCTCGCGAGATCTCCTCAATGTAGTCTGTAAAAAGGCCATGCCGTAAACAACGTGTTTAATTTTTGCCTTCTGTCAATATTTCTGTTTTATTACAACAAAAATATAATTATAGTAGTTAGTAATTGCGACATAATTAGAAATGATATTTTCAAATGCATGACATATTGGGTTGTTTTTTAATAAGAATTTGAGACTTAAAATATAATCATGAACATAAACAAGGTTTTATCAAATATACTAGTAGCTTGATGTAAGTATATATTTTTTACTCAATTCTCACTACGTAGCAAGAGATAATGAACACTTGTTCACCGTGACATGTTTAACCATAGGCGGTAGGCCCAGGAGTTTTGTTGAGTTCCGAGCGAGTGCCGAAGGCGAGTTCCGACAGATGCCGAAGCCACCAGAAAATTGGGTTCCGAGCGCAGTAAAAATCAGTAAAGATCACGGATATGGATGGGATATGACGTAAGAAGCGGATATACGTAATGCGACCGTGCGAGTAGGCGAGTCTTCGGTAGAAGGTGGAGCGATAGAAGGTTGGTCATTTTCTTGAATTCCAACAAAAATGCAATTATGGCATGCGCTTTATACTAGATAAATAATTCAAAACAATATAGTTGACCAGGTTGTCAATAGAACCTGTTGAAAATATTAAAGCGAGGAAGGGGGAGTGGGTTGGTCAACGTCATATCCGTGATCTTTAATAGGCATTATTGGAAGTGTTAAAAGTCATGAATAGAATATAGACGTAACTTAGCGTAAAGGACGACGGTAGATAACCCCGACGATGGCTTTCCCTGACTGGTCGGACGAGCCGTCGGCGTACCACGTGCTTCTAGTGTCCTTCTCAAAAATGAATCCTTAGCCTACCGCTCATGGTTTCACATAGCAAAGCCAATGACATGGTATTCTTACCTTTTGCAATGTCCACTGGCACATACGTCAATGCTCCATGACGTTCCAGCATAGCCTCTATAACCGGACGGGTTTTGGAGGAAGCGCCGCTGCCGAGCTCAACCAGCATGGTGCGGGCCGAGGGCATCTTATCAACGATATCTTTCACATGCGTCTGAAGCAAGGTGTACTCATGATTCCACAGTCGGTAGGTCGAAGAAGAACGAACGATTCTGTAGGAGTAGGAAATAATTGCCAAATTAATGCTTATTGCAGAATGGTAGCAGGCCTTAATGTAAATGATTTTGTTTTGTTTAGTTGTTTTGTTTTTGCAATACCTATTCAGGGAGAATTTGGAGTCCTTAATTTTTTTAAACAATTTTTTATTGCAAATACATGCACGAGGGCTAATTGGATGAACAGAAAAAACATTTGGTATAAAACAGATACTTACTACACATGAAACTACTAACTACTAAGAAACTACTAGTAAAAACTACTGGGTTTGACTTCTTCTTTGAAGACAGGGGAAGGCAAAGGATCCCACTTTTCCTGTAATTTGTGGGTTTTCGGATGTTAACAGGAGAGTAGTTTTCTTTTCATTTGTATATGTGTGAAAGTTTGGGTAGAATTTGGAGACTACGTCAAAGAGTTGATTTCGTTCATTGTTATAGAGGGTACAATTTGATATAAAATGCGTTTCGTCTTCCACCGTATTCAACGTACAATGTTTTGCAAATTCGTTCATGCACTTCGAGCTTCTTATATCGCCCTCTCTCAATTTCGAGAGGGTGTGCACTAATTCGTAATATATATGATATATTTGTGATATATAAAAAGTAATGTAATTTCATTATTGACAAAATCTACCCCAACTTTATACCATGCGAAGTGTTTGAATGAGTGAAGTTAACGTTCCTTAAACAGGACTGGTACGGGCACAGCAGAAAAAAAAATCTTTCTAAACCCCTACATGTTGCACGGACAAATAAAAGTCAAAAAAAGGTTATTCCTATAAATTTTCAATAAGCTACATTTTTTTGGCGGAGGCCGACATCGGTTATCATATGCTTTTGACTCAGTGTTGACGTCATACTTCCAAGAAGTCACGATACAAGTCTTACAGGGTCAGTCTACTGAGGAAGACCAGGGTGACACAAAAGTGCCAGGTGAAAACAATTCTTTGTGTTCAATCAAAAGGTTTTAATCTAACAGTAATCAGTCTTAAATGTGTTTGTATTTTGTTTCTAATAGCCTTTAATGGATTTTTATGTAACGTTTCTCTAAGAAAGGAGGAAAACAACACAAATGTGTAATGTGTTCTTCTAGCTTGAAGCCGTATTTAATTCCGTCAGTGAATCTTTTTGGGGTTGGCGTAACAGCAAGATACCAGTTGAAAAACAAAGAGGAAGCCCGATTAAAAAGTCCCGAAACACGTCAAAACCAAATCCCCTGCTGGGAGAGTAAGAAAGTAGTAAGTGAATTTTGACGAAGTGAGAAGCTATTTACATAATAGGACTAAGTAGTACGAAAGAAGAAGTACGTTACTAAAGCCCCAGTCACAACCCGCCGTACATGCTTTTTGTCCGTACGTTTTTGTTTTTGCTTTTTTTTTGGGGGGGGGGAGGCCACGTCTGCTACTTTTCTCAGAAAACGTGGGAAAAAGTGGCGTTGACGCACGGTTGCAGAAAGTGTAAGAGTGTGGTCTGCACGCCAAGTCTGGCCGTGAGCGGTGCGTGCATCGTTCGTTGCGCAAGTGGTAAGTGAGTTGTACGTGCTAACAACGTACGATCTCTGTGCGATTGCAACTTTACCGAAAGGAGGCCCTACTCACACGTGCTTCTTACGTACGGTTCGTGCGGGGCACGCGTTTCGCCCGTACTCGCACCGTACTTGGTTTTACATGCACTTAAAGTTCTACGGCGTGCTCCCAAATCCTTAGGATTCCGTACGGAGGTGGTACTCACTACTTACGAATCCCCTAAGTTTGCCCACTTTTTTGCACGCAAACAGCATGCAGATGCACGTACGGCGGGTTGTGACCGAGGCTTTGAACATGACCATATACTCACTCTTCATAGATTTCCGACCCCCTGGTGTCATACAGGTACCAGTGCGGCACGTGTTTCCGGTGGGAGGTGAGGCTGGTCACCACGGACTGCAGATCAGCGGGAACAGCACTCAAGTGTCGGCGTATCACCAGGAAGTGACGTGCTACTGACGTCATTCGATTAGCCAGTGCCATGACTCAAAACTATGTGCAAATAAAAAATAAGATGGTTAGGCCAAAGCAAGTAAATTTTATGGATGACATCCTCCGCAGACTCCAAATCTTATGCGAGCGGGCGAAAAGGTGGGCCGAAAAAACAAGGTTCCTAGATTATCAAATTTTGACTCAATAATTGTACAAATGGTTTTGATTTAGTGAGAACATCACATATACATATGATATGTGATACAGCCAGTATCACATATCACTGCATCAAAGTAAAAAACAAAACATTTAATCATAGTCTTTTCTTGTCTCCTGTCTTCATAGTTATTAGCTATTCACGTTCCGGCATGGCAACAGACATATTTGTCCATTTTCGGCATGTTGACCACTGTCAGAGGGCAACAAAATTTCTTGTTTTTTTTTTCACCAAATCAAGCGAAAATTAATGCGCGCTCTGATTACTTGCTATGGCCTTACGAAAAAGTTTGATAATGTTGCAGAGCATTAAGCGTGTGTGCATGTTTGTTTGTGTGAGGTTAGACATCCAAATAAACAAAAATTTCCGTTCAAGTTTTGTTTCATTCAGTATCATTGGTAACTTTTAATATTTAGTATTGTAAGGTCCAAAGATAAACCTCCAGGTTTCTGGCCCTCCCATGCATGTTTACTTAACTCCAATCGTTATATTTCATCTTATTTTGGGAGTGCAAAACAAGCAATAAACAATTATTAAATAAAATTAGTCATGTGACCATGGGCTTATGGAGAAATGGGCTGTTTTGAACCTTGAGTACCTAAACAAAAGACGCCAAGGAAAGTCCAATAAAAAGCATAAAAAACACGCCAAAACCATTCCTTGGATGATGTCACGTTATGTGTTTTTGTGACCCTAGTATGTCTAGGTCATGCGAAATCAAAACCGGAAGTTCAGCTGCAGTACCATAAGAAGTTACTAGGACGCCCAAATCTTATCATTTTCAGGTCTTTTCAAAACCTACCTACCTCCTAAATATCAATTCAAACCATTAAAGCCTTCCCAAGTTATCATGTTTACAGGCACACACACACACACACACACACACACACACACACACACACACACACACACACACATACACACATACATACCACCCCACCCCACCAAGAGGCCCGTGTTTGACCTTGACCTTTGTCAATACCTACCTACATACTAAATAATATCACAATTCATGAATGCGTTCTGAAGTTATATATTTTTTTTTACTTAGTGGTCGCCATGTATACGTAACACGGCCGTTAGGCCACTTCAAGGTGAATGGTGCTACGAGTACCACCTGAATTGTGTTACCACACAAGTAGTGAGGACTGACTGACTCAATAGGAGAAGCAGGAGTTACGAGGCTGCTCGGGAAAATTCCCTACCCCGTTTTTAGACCATAATGGTTTGTTCCACTTCCGCCCACGTGGGTTCTCTCCTCAAACACGGGACCTCCATTTTAACGTCCCATCCGATAAGACGCCCCTAACCGAAGCTAGGTACTCATTTTCACCTGAGGTAAGTGAGGAAAGTCGTGTTAAGCACCTTTCCCAAGGGTACAACGTCGGGGCGCTTGTTCGGGTACAACCCGGAATCGGATCCGGGTCTCCCCGTTTCACAGTCCAGTGATCTACCACTACACCACACGACGCCACAAATGACTACAAACACACACACACACACACAAACAGACAGACAAACACACCAAAACAATAACGCCATTTTTTCATTAAAGTAACAAGAGTTCCGAGATCTCATACCTCCATGAAATATGGGCTTGCTTTGTCCTCATCAAGTATGCAAATAACCTCTACATTAACATAATATATGCATAGCGATGCAAACCTTTAAGTAACTTACACATGTTACGAGGTATAAAATTCCCATCATTCACCAATAAGGATTCACAGAATTTTCACATTAATTATGCAAATTAGATCATCATTTGCATAATTGGTATATGTTGATGTTCCGCCTGCCACAGATTAAATAGATTACATTAGCAGTACCATTATATGAAACACTGTATTTATAGAATTTCCTCATTAATTATGCAAATTAAGTCCTCATTTGCATAAATTGCATTTAATCATGTACAACTGTCTCTCAGGTACCTACACACCAAAAAAGGTGAAAATACATTGTTCAAATCTAGACTTATTGGCTTTGAAAGTTTTTACCAGGAACTAACCTACAGTTCCAGAACAAGCTGCTAGGGGGACCAAACTTACGCCACTAATTCCTGACAGGATAAGCTATCTGTCACCAAAAAGTCAAGACCATAGCTTATTCAGGACAAAAGATACAAAAACCGGAAGTTCTGCTGCAGTACCAAGGTCATCCACCAGGAGGCCCATACTTAAACTTGACCTTTGTCTTTCCAAGACTTACCATCATGCCAAATATCATCACAATCCATAAAGGCGTTCTGAAGTTATGCTGACTACAAAGTTGCGGAAACACACACAGACACACAGACAGACACACACACAGACATACATACAGATAGACACGCCAAAAACAATACCTTCATTTTTCATGGAGGTAGTAACTTAAAAGCCCAAGCCCGAACCTCTGCTTGGAGAGTACTGGAACAAGGACGTTCAACGTCCTTGACTGGAACTGGTGCATGGTGGTTCTAGTGACCTTGACTCTAAGTGAACTTTGCCCATGTGTTGAAGACTTCGTCAACCCACCTACATCTGCACTTCAGGGGCCCCTTCAGGGGCGTTTCCATACATTTTTTCTTGTTCAATACGCTGGCTAATTCTACTTCGTTTGGGTGAAAAAAAGCATATCTGTTCATAATTATAACTGTTATGATCTATTGGACGATGCTAAGGTAAGGTAGCGTAAGGGTTCCCTTCCGGTAGCCTAATACCCTCCCCTACAATGAAAAACATCCCCTTTCTAGAAATAGTAACATATGCGACCGTCAAATTACTTCAAAACTGTTTTCTGGAAGAATTTTTCAAGCAAATGTTGAGTAAATGATTTCGATGACATATTCATGTAAAGAAAAACATGCATATTATCATTATGGACACTTACCTGGGGCTGTTGCTGTGGTATGTCCATGGCAAGCTTTGAGCTGTTACCCGGATGACACTAGCCTGGTATCCAGTCTTATCGTGATAGGGGGTATTGGGGTGTTCAGGCAGGTTGTGTCTTCGGGCCCTCTAAGAGCTTCCGTCCAGTGCAACAGACCGTCCTGTAGGAGTGTTACGCTAATCAGAGACAGCATGCTCGGGGATTTGGTTTCCCCCCTACACGTGGAGGGCTAATTAATCTCTCGTGAAATACACACCGGGAAGCTTATGTGAGGCGGGCGGGCCAGAGCTCTTGCGGCCCCGACCACGAATCAGACTGGATACCAGGCTAGGATGACACGTCAAAACATAGGACCAGGCGTGTGGATTTTAGAGGGAGTTATGCTGCAGTAACTGTCTTCTAAGAAGCACAGCTTTAGAAAAAGGCATGAACCGTTTAACATTAACACTGTACTTTCAATAAGATAGACAACATAGAAAGTGTTTGCATTCTAGTTTTGCAAAGAAATGGACCACACTATTGTATACTAAAATGACCCCCCCCCTACGAGAAATAGAACGACGTCGTGTATAGTAAACAAAACAAAACGTCCTTGATTAAATCGATTTTTGTGTTTATAAACACTGCTATGTGAATCCCTTTTTATGCATTTATAAACATCTCACAGATCATTGTTTTTTTGTTGAGGACATTTAATGTAATATAATTTTAAATCATTTCTTTCACAGTATAAAACTGAATTTGTTATTAATGCCACAGAATCTCCCGTAACTAAAAAAAAACATTAAGGCGTCAGAACCCCATGTGATGTGGACTCTTCCATTCTGATGGTTCAAGCGAGCTGCATTCCTGTTGTGTTCCCAACCGTGCCCGGGCATGGTAAGTGACACTCGGCGCGTGTCTGGAACCGTGCGCGTGCCCGGAGACTTAGCACAGTTCTGGACACGCGATGGCCTTGTCCCAAACCGAGCCCAGTCCCACCAATCACTATGATTGACAACATATTTATGTATATTTTCTACAATGATAACTTACATGTGCATATTTCCTACAGTTCCTAAATAAAAGTGATAAGCTAGCCTCTGCCAGGCCCAAGAAGCGGCTGCAAAAATGGCCAAATAAGCGACGGTCACAACTCGCCGTGCGTGCTTTTTGTCCGTACGTTTTTGTCGTGGCTACGTCTGCTACGTTTTTTCTGCAAACGTAGGGTGGCCGGACGAGAGAGTACGTCACTCGCACGAGTGCGCAAGGTGTACGTACGTGGTCTGCACGACACGCCTGGCCGTCAGCGGTTGCGTGCATCGTACGTTGCGCAAGTGGTAAGTGAGTTGTACGTGCTTACAACGTACGATCTCTGTGCGATTGCCACGTTGCCGCGTACAGGCCGTACCTACACGTGCGGCGTACGCACGGTTTCCTTACTCACTCGCACGTTGTAAGTGCGTGCACCTCCTGTTAACTTCATCATCACTAGGCACCCTGGTGTCTTCCGCGGCCCGTTTCTTTGGGTCTTGTCTGGTAGTCTTCTTCTGAGCCTTCCTGGGAATCTTGGAGACGAGTTGGCAGTCGCCCGTCAAGTCGTCTTTATATACTGTAGAAATCAGGTGCGTTGCACGTGCGGAGCACCTGGTATGGTGCACGTGTGTTCTGCGTGGTCATTGAGCAGGTCAACTGGGAAGTGAGGAGTAAGCACGGATGACGCAAGCACCGTGCGTGTCACGCACGTGCTTCGTGCGCTGTCCGTACAGCAATTGCACGTGAGAATAGTGAAGTTAGACTCACGGAGTCCGTACGTTGCACGCTCATAGGTTGTGCGGGGCACGCGCGTCGCACGTACTCGCACGCACGGGTGGTAAATCCGCAGACCGCACGTAGAAAAAGTATTACATGCACTTAAAGTTCCACGGCGTGTCTGCGTGCTCCTAAATCCGTAGGATTCCGTACGGAGGTGGTACTCACCACGCACGGATGCCGTACGATTGCCCACGTTTTTGCACGTAGACAGCACGCAGAAGCACGTACGGCGAGTTGTGACCGTCGCTATACACACATAACATACCGGGGAAGTTGGTCCGCTAAAGGTGTACAACTGCAGAACAGTTTTCAGTCTTTTCAGAAGCCTGGTGGAGGCTAGTCTAAGATCCCTACTTAACCCTACCTAGACCGGGCTTTTTTTGACATGGGGGGACCGGGGGGGGGCTCTTTTGACCCCCCCCTAAGAACTCGCGAACGGTATGTCGTATGACCACCAAATTTTCAGAGAATGGTGTACTAGTGAAAATTTATCATATCTACAATTTTTATGTCGTTATGACGTAATATGACGTCATTATGACGTCATTAATGTGATTTTATTGGCCAAAACCGTCTAAATAGGTTTTTCCCTGAAAACCTCCCTGGTATACAACATAACTTTACCAAAAGTGTTTATGACAGAATATTAGTGTGTACTAAGTCTTATGTTGCCCATAGCAACACCGGTGACGTCATAAAATGACGTCATGCATATTTAAGATATCCACCATCTTGGATCATCAATCTTGAATTTTCAAAAATATTTTTTTTCATGATAAAGCCTAAAATACATTGTAAAAATACTAAACACCTTCATTCAAACCTTTTTTGGAAAAAGAAATGGAAGTATTGATGAAATTTTAATGAAAATAACCCGTATATACCTGTTCTAATGATATGGTCCGCCATCTTGGATTTTGGCCAATGACGTCATCAAATTAGCATAAATTATGCATATTTAATGATAAAATTTACATAAAATTATATGGGATGTTATTAATATTAGAAACCATGAGTAACTTGACATAAAACCCATAAAATTCTATTGTTGAAACAAAAAGTACTAAATTTAGCGAAAAATGCCTGTCAGAAACCCGTTGCCATGGCAACACAAAAAATTATTATCTTATTCCAATGATAGAGAATTGTTGCCAACAATATTTTAGGAAAAGTCACCAAGTTTGGTCGTTTTACGGCTAGCCGTTCAGACGCTAGGTGACATCAAAGTTGCCGCGGGCACTTTTAGCCCCCCCCCCGGTCTAGGTAGGGTTAAAGTAAAACTACCCGCCATTTTGAGCGGCTTTACAGCAGAACCTGAACAAATGTAGAGGAGTTAATCTGATATTACAACTCTGCAGTACTCATTATTACATCACACAGCATTTTATACTTCAAAACATACTGCACAGGAAGTTATCTCATCTTTTGAATTCCAACTCCACAGTAATGACAAGGTCACAATTCCCTGCTCCCGGTGAGCAGCTTTGGGAATGAAAAGTTTGATACATATAAAAAAATTGATTGAAAAATCATGGGCATTATTTGTGACCTTTTGAGATTTGAAAATTATTTTTCGCTGATACAAACGACCCCTTGGGCGCCGGTTTGAAAATGTTCACAATGTTTATAGTTAAAAAAATTGAAATATGTTTCTCTGAAATATAACATGACCAGTAAAAACTGCTATGGTGTAAATAAAACGTGCATCGTCTCGCGCATACTAGCAGATGACATTCCAAACTTAATATAAACACAGCAAGTGGATATTTCTAGTTATATCTGCAAACGTACACACACAACTAAAACTGCTACGGTATAAAAAAAACAACATGCATCAACTCGCGCATACTAGCAGACGACATTCCATGCTTAATACAAACACAGCAAATGGATATAACTAGTTATATCTGCAAATGTACATACACAACTAAAACTGCTACGGTATAAAAAAAAACAACATGCATCATCTCGCGCGTACTAGCAGACGACATTACAAACTTAATATACAAATACAGCAAATGGATATAACTAGTTAAATCTGCAAACATACACACACAACTAAAACTTCTTCGGTAAAAAAACAACGTGCATCATCTCGCGCATACTAGCAGACGGCATTACAAACTTAATGCAAACACAGCAAATGGACGTAACTAGTTATATCTGGAAACATACAAACACAACTAAAACTGTTAATACAAACACAGCAAATGGATATAACTAGTTATTTCTGCAAACGTACACACCATGACAACTAAAACTTATACGGTATAAAAAAAGTGCATCATCTCGCGCATACTAGCAGACGGTATTCCAAACTTTAAGTTAATACAAACACAGCAAATGGATATAACTAGTTATATCTGCAAACATACACACACAACTAAAACTGCTACGGTATAAAAAAAAAAAACAACGTGCATCATATCGTGCATACTAGCAGACGACATTACAAACTCAATGTACAAATACAGCAAATGAACGTAACTAGTTATATCTGCAAACATACACACACAACTAAAACTGCTACAGTATAAAAAAAACAACGTGCATCTACTCGCGCATACTAGCAGACGACATTACAAACTTAACATACAAATACAGCTAATGGACGTAACTAGTTATATCTGCAAACATACACACACAACTAAAACTGCTACAGTGCAATAAAAATGTGCACCTTCTCACGCATATTATCAGATGACAACTTGTTATATCTGCGAACGCATACACACACAACTAAGCATCTGTCGGAGGTTACTTACCGCCTTACAGAGCAATGAACGTAACTATTATTGTATAGCCTTCTTTGCATGCGTTGTACTGTTGGTGGCTAGAGCAGCTATATCCTGTCTGCTATCTACGTTTGATCAGACAATCGTGCAAGTTGCAAATAAGAGCACCCCCCCAAAAAAAAAAACAGACCGCTCCCAGAACGCCTGCAAAAGAGGATATTTTTGTTGCACTTCTTGAAAGTCGTGAGTCATCTTTGGTTCCTGAATCGATTTTTTTTAATATTCCAACATTTCATGACTAGACATGGTGACGGCACACTCAAGTTATATCAACTTATTTTGTGTCGCCACCAACACACAGGACGAATACAGGACAAGACAATACCCATTTTTGCTTGAGTTAAGTGAGGAAAGTCGTGTAAAGTGCCTTTCCCAAGGGCACAAGATCGGTGGCATGTCAGGACTCGAACCCGGCACCTCTTGGTTCCGAGTCGAGCACGCTGCCGTAACGCCACACGACAATAAAATCTAATTTACATCAAAAGGATAGCAGCTGAGTCAACTGTCAAGTTTTCTTATGAATGTCCGTCTACACTTCTAGTCCGCGAGGAGGCTGTCGACAAAGTTAGGAAAAAATGCTCTGAGTATCACCAGGGGCCGGGTCATGGCCGGGTAGTACACCTCCCGGGCCCGGGTCGCCCCGCCGCGGATGATGGCCAGTGCTGCCTCGTCCATGGGCGCCGCCATGTCTAACATGTCCTGTCCCTTCTCCATTTTCTGGAAGAATGAATAAAGTAGAAGGGTAACATTTGCAAAGCAAATACATAATGTTTACCTTCACATGGTACAGCCTAAAAATTCTCCTACTTACTCAAACACGTTCTGGCGTATATAATGTGACTTGATGGTGGCCTGCCCCTCCAACTCTGTGCTACCACTTGCTACACAATGCCATCCGATACCAAAAAATGTAATCCGACAACACTAAAGCACAAGTTACCATAACGATAGTCGTCTGGTCCATAATTGTTTGGAGCAGAAGAACAGAAATATGGCACAACGTAGCAAAAAAATGAAAAAAAACGAAGAAAGGAAGGAAGGAGGGAGGGAGGAAGGAAGGAAGGAAGGAGGGAGGGAGGGAGGAAGGAATGAAGGAACGAAGGAAGGAAGGAAATAAGGAAGAAAGGAAGGAAGGAGGGAGTCAAATCCGTATTATTTTTAAGAATCGACAAAGATATGCATCGAAGTATATTACAATTCAGGGCTAGACGCACCGTTTTTATCACAGGCACTAGGCCACCGAGTTTTTGTTGAGATCTAACAATACATTGTTTTGTAAACCATTAAAATCCTCATTATTGTTTCGCGTATGTTAGAACATACACTGTGTCTACTCATTCAGCCCGTTATCATCACAATACAGTGGTCCGTTGAAATATTCCCGAGAATCTTACAGTCACATAACACATATATATATATAACAACGTGAACACGGCCCGTTGCAATTGAAAGATTCCTGAGAATCATACGTACACTGAACACGGTCACAAACTGATGAGGATTCCAAAGAACCATACGAACAGATACCGAAGTCTCCCGAAGATTGCCGAGATCCGAACAGCGACTTCCGAACGCTTCAGCTTGGTTAGGTACTTACTTGAAGTTATCACCGCTAGCGCTAGCCTCGGCTTGGGGTTCTATCGAGTCGAGCAGCGGTTTTGCGATTGCATTCGAGTTTGCGAAACCTGTTCTATTTCCGTCGGCCTTTGCGCTATCTAATATCCATGAACGCCGATGTAACAGCTGAGTAATGAGTGTGCTTTTTATTGTATGATTCAGCGGACCAAGTACCCAGCAGTATGTATTATATATGTATGGTACATTGTACGGAGAATTCTAGGGAAATATTTCAACTGTTTTTGCAGGGTCTCGTGGCGGTAGGTTCTTTTGGGCCGCGCCACTGACCCTGCTCGGGAGGGTGTGCACAGTATACGTGTGTTCATAAAACAAAGCAACAGCGATCTCAACAAAAACTCGGTGGCCTATCGCCCATGTTTTCATCAGGGTGTATATACGTTTATAAGCTTTGATTAATACATACGTGTATATGAACAAAAAAATACAATAATTTTTGCCCCACCATACCTCATACATTTTCTCGACCATCGGCGTCCTGATGAAGCCGAGTACCGGCAGGGTGACGGACACGTCCTGTCCAGCCTTCATCAGTTCCACACGGAGGGAGCTGAAGAACCCGTCAACGGCGAACTTCCCCGCCGAGCCCCAGGCCAGGGTGGCAAACGGAACCTTTCCTACAGAATAATATAAATGGTTTTTATTGTCCAAACAGTACCCAGCCTTTATACGGCTGAATTGATGCAGGGTATCCACGGTGGTAAAATCTGGGCTGTAAATTTCCCACATGTCATAGAATCCGAACAGTGTTCGATCGTGTTCGATCTGGGCAATTCGAATCGAACCCGCGTTCCCATTCCGGGTCACCTGCGGTCATTTACAATAAAGCGGCAAAACAAGCCCTTCTGCCTGAGTGCCTCGCAACAGATAAAAAACAACACTTTTCTATAGATACAAACAGTTTCCTGGACAGCACATGTCCGCTATAATTTTTGGTGGGTAAGTAACATGTAGCGAAGCTACTGTCGTATCCTTGGGTCACCTTGAATACTGTAATGATTCTTTACGCAAGTATGAATAACACAATGCACACTTTCGGGTGATATGACATGTCTGCAAAACTCGTTCAAACCTGGAAACATGAAGAGTCAAACATACCCCATTTACGGCTCAAAATGACCGTAACGGTTGTCCCGAAAATCGTGTTTTAGGGATTTTTGAAAAATGACCTCAATTTTGAATTATGGGTAATTTAGTGAGAAAAATGTCAAAACATGCCATTTTCACCAATATGTGGACAAAAACTAGACTTAAAATCAGAAATCAAAAAATTCCTAGAACACGATTTTTCATCTTATTCCTAGTCTACGAAAAGTATAAAAATCGAGGATTTGGGGTAATATACGTAGCCAGGTTTGAACGATGTTTGCCTAAAAACGTGACATGACTTGTGCTCGGAAACCCGAAAATAATCGTCTTTCTGAGCGAAATTTTTAAACATCAGTGATTCAACATAACAAGCTAACATTTAAAGGATGTTAAGACGATAATTTCATTTTAATTTGACGAAATTTACCACTAAATATTATTTGTTTATTTTCCAATATTTTACGGGTAGTCCGAAACCGGCCAAAATAGCGTCTTGTAACCCAATACCTTTTCGAACGCGCATAGCAATGGGAAAAAATGCCGTAGTGACAGACCGCCGTGATCACATAATAATCAATACAAATCACAACAATTACAACAATCAAATAATACACATATTTGTTCCACAATCTTTTTGTGGAACTGTGGCAAGGGTCTGTGCGGCTGCCATTCGGCGCCACAAGGTGATCTCAATACGACTTTTCCCCAACCAAAGTTAGGTACCCATTCACACCTGGGTGAAGTGAGGAAATTCGTGTCAAGTTCCTTTCCCAAGGGCACAACGTCGGGGCGCATGTTCAGACGTGTCCCGGGTACGACTCGGAATCGAACCCGGGTCTCCCCGCTCTTAGTCGAGTGCTCTAACCACTACACCACCCGACCCCACGCTACACCACTGAAACAGGGGTGGGAGAGAACGACCATATAGTTTCCCACCAAGCAGAGGTTTAGGTTCCGGCTTATTATAACATATTTTAAGCGTTTTTATTGGGTTTGCGGCACGGTAATTTTATTCGCCAGCTTACAGTGGCGTATTGGGTATCGACAAGCAAGAGTGATGAGAGATGGATGTATTTGATCAATAGGATTAAAAATGACTTCAATCATGTATGTTACCTGTACCTGCTCCAGCATTGGAATGCAGGGCACATTAAACGCTCCTTTTTATCTTAAAAATCAAGAGTTTGCATTAATTAAATTAAAGAACCTAACCAATAATGTAGAGAGGATAGCTATCCAACTGTTGGCACTTCATACTATAGTTATATCAATGTAAAGAACTGCTTTCCCTTCTTGTGTTTCCCTTCTTTCCCCGCCATGTCGTTAAATGTGGTGATGCCATCAGCAAATGCCAGCCTTTCTAGTCTTTTTTTTTAATCAACATGCGAATAAAAAAAAATAAACAAACAAAAATATTGACATTCCTACCTTGCAGACCCGACACGGCCACGATGTGTCCGCTACTCTCCTTCAGCAGAGACAGGGCCATGGAGGCCAGCCGGACATAACTCACCAGGTTCACCTGTAAGTAGTCCTCGAAGAAGTTCATGTCAGGGTCCTGGTCCCAAGAGATCTTTCCGAACATCTCGTGAATGTTCTTGACATTTGAGCCGTCATGGTTAAGGACTAGATAGTCAAGACGTCCTGAAAAAGATCAATTATAAACAAAACAGAAATCAACAAGACATCGGAGAGTTCATACGTACCGCCATAAAAAAGATTTTTTTCTGAATTTCTTTCTTTATTCGTTGTTTTGAATTTCCTTTTTTATGTCCCTTGTACCCGACCGACAAACTTACAATCAACTTTTTTTTTTGGCTCGCGGCCATCTTTTGGACCATACTTCCTGTCTCTGACCTTTTGTGGTCTGGGGTTAGGACACCCCCTTCCCAATCCACGTGCTGTCACTCAGCTGTAGAATCACACAAAACAATACCTTCTCACACGAAATTGTAACCGTGTACAGACTCATTAACACATGCATAGCATGACAGTTGTATATATTGCGGTTTTAGACCTATGTTGGAAGTTACATACAAATTATTAATATGCTCTGATTGTGAGGCAAAATACGGCGTGGTTCCATATCATGATAAAACGCCCAGTCATACCGAATTTGTCCTTGACTGTTTGAATGGTTCTCTCACAGTCCTCCGCCTTCCCCATGTCCCCGGCCACGTAGTGCGCCTCCTGGGCACCCAAGGACTTCGCCTTCGCTACCACCTGAAGAGAAGGCGGGCAGGAACGTTAATAAAGGGTTAATGCCCCGCCCCGAGGTGTATATGGTGAGAGATAATCCCTAGTCAGGTACGATAACTACCGAATAAACCACCAAGTGAGCGTAGCAAACAAGGTTATCGCACCTGACCAGGTATTATATCGCCATATACACCGAGGATAAGGAAATTAACGTTATTATCATATAGTCTATCCAACTGACACAGTTATTTGACACAAATACCTTTATAAAACTCCTCAATTGTCGAATAAAACCCTCGCATTCTATATGACTTGAAACAAGATGGCATGGACAGAAAAAACGTATTATCTAGGCAATCATCTGCGGTGACCACGTGACATTGGAACAGTATCACTTTTTTGGGGGGTGTCCAAATCTATATTTTGTCTTTTTATATTTCAGTCCATACCATGGTATGGATGAAATATATTGTGTTCCCTCATGTTTCTTCTTCTCCTTCTCCTCCTGCCACACAGTCAAAGGGATTCAACTCTGTCATTTTTTAGTCAAATGACCTGAAATTTGGCAAGGAGGTAGAGTGGGCCAATACCCCTAGGCGTTTTTTTTCTCATTTTTTTGATACATGCCTTTGAAAAATTTTATGAAGGTTTTTTGAGGCATTTTTCGACAAAAAATGGATTTTTGGATCCTGAGCGCTGGTTTTACAACCAAATGATCTGAAATTCGGTATAAGGGTACCTTGAACATGTGTCTACAGAATAGCAGTCACATGTTTGGCATACACCATTTCCAAATGACTCATTTAGGGGACTTTAATGGCTATTTTCAGTCAAAAAAGGGGCCAAAAGTGCTGTACCCGTTCCACGTTCGATCTAAAGAATGCCCGTTCTATCTGCCGTTGGCCATCGAACACATCGAACATTGCGGGTTACCTGAGGTCACGTTGTACGTAAGTCGTGCACAATGACCCCACACATTCAATTTTTATGTAACGTTACCTAGATTTTTACGTCATCAGTCATCTACAATCACGACGAGGGAATATGCAGACCATCCTAATCCTGGGTGCCGCAAAGTTTTTCGGAAGGTATGTGTAACTTGTAAGAAAATGTTCGTCACGTCCCGGCGCGGCACAAGAACTCATGCCGACTAAATGGTTCGCTACCTGAGGACTTTCCACAACCATGATTATATTATACTTATATCAGAAAGGAATATGTTATAGATCAATCATGTTGAAATGATAATTGTAATACATGGTTCTATTTAATATCGGTAGTTTTGTTTCTTATTTTGATGGGGGAAACTGTCAAAAATCGAGGGGACGCAAACCGATATCGGCGCACTTCCGGGTGCATAACGCCAAAATTTCTCGACGATTGTGTAAAAATGACCACTCATTTGCCGCCTCCGGTAGCGTGTACATGGTAGTGCGATCATATTGTGCCGAAGTCAGCGTCAAACGTCAAAAAAGCCGCGTAAAAATATACATGTAGTTGCAAAACACATTTCCAGCCGCGCTCAGCAGAGCTTCGCTGTCACAAACAGCACGGACGGACCCTGCATGCTTCATTAACATATGCAAGTAGCAACGCACTGCTACGCTCTGATTGGTTCACCTTTGATGACCTGCGCTCTGATTGGCTAGAACGAAGCCGGCTGCATGCCGGGGCGCGCGAAGTGAAGAGAACTCGAGCCACATGTTTACGCTGCTTTATACCTTATTTCTACGACTAATTAGCAACATCCTAGTGACAAAATGCGTACTCAAAAGAATTTTTTCGGGAATAAATATATATGTACATGTGGGATTGTGGTGCCTTTGGCGTAATTTTGTTGGTCACGTACAACGTAATGTAACACGGAAGTGCACGGAGTCGGACGATTATGGAGTCGCGGCACGGCTTTCCGTCCGGTCCCACTCTAAACAAAAAAGGACATAACAAAACTCCCCAAAACTGGCCTAGAATTAGCCATAAAATGTTTGCAGGCACGTGTAAATATGCTGCCTTTTTTCGAGTGTTATAGGCATTTTCCGCGATGTTTTTGCACATCCCTAACGTTACCTCACGCCCGCCGCCTATTACAATGTACGGCGGACCGGGGCATTTATAACTTCAGATCATCTAGGATTGCATATTCGGTGGTAAAGTAAGTAAACAAACAGAGAAAAACAGTAAAATAAAGTTGACAAACTATAGAAACGCTTGCCTGGGCAACAGTGACAAAAGAAAATATCGATCTAATTGATGCACCGGTGATCGTTAAAACGTTTTAAACGTTACAATATAGTAAAATGCAGGCTAGATCAACGTTCCTTCCGCTGTTCCAGCAGTGCGCCGGTAGTAAATCATGCAGTACTAGCGCGTTTGTAAACGGGACAGTAACGAAAAAGTAACCAGTTAGTAACGGAAAACTAACGAGTTAGAAATGCGATCGTAGTAACGGTGGTGATTGTAACTATAACGGGTACGGTACTGTAGTAGTTTCATAGTATACACAAATCATGTATAGCATATTCAACATCTGATATTTGTAGTTGCGTGGTATATGTATGATATATATAATCATGTCAATCATATGTAGATTATTCAATATATGAATGTAGTGTTTTATAGTATATGTAAGTCATGTACATCTTATTCAATAGTTATGTATAGTGTCATAGTGCATTTAATTAATGTATAGTTCAATATGTATGTATGCATAGTTTTATAGTTCATCTATATATATTTACAAAGTTATGTATAGTTTCCTTTTCTTTGCAATTAGACCTTCAAAATGTATCAAATCTCATCATTGTTAGTATTTACATACCTGCTATAAGATTGTGCGATATATAAGAGTGATGTGAAATTTTGTAAGTAAAGCTGTCGTGATTCAAAGTGCTGATCTTGCATCTTTGTTCTCAATTACATAGCTCTAATATAATTCATTTATTTGAGAATCTTCCAGTTTTGCACTGGGGTGAGTTTGGAATAGTCCACTTTTGCGTGGGAGGGAGATGGACTGAAATATGCTGTATTTGCTCCCAAGCAAATGTCGGCCTTTCTAGTTCTGTATAAATTTTATTGATATCTTTTTAATTGTGTTGTTTTGTTCAATATATTATCTAAAGTAATCATGTAGGCGGGTGACGTTGGCCAATCAGAAGGCTCCATTTCACATTCCTTATGACGCCGTAATGTCACAAATAGAGTCAAAATCGGGTATTTATTCATCCCAATCCATAAATTAAACAACCCAATAATCACCCGCATATGACCTCAGGTGACCCAATAGAACACGGCTCTAGTTCTAAAAAATCTAAAAATAACTTGAGTTGTGTTCCAATGACCTCGGGTGACTCCCATAAGAACACCTGTTCCCTGCCTTCGACCCAGATATAAGACAAAGAACGTGAACTCTACCCAGTGACCTCAGGTGACTCCAGATGGAACTATGTTCTATGTTCTATTCAGCATGTCCATTGTGTCACTTACTGCATCAGTTTGGATAGGCTATCGTGTAAGCTATATGATAATAGCGTTAATGGCCCGCCCTTTCTCGGTGAATATGGTGTGTTAAAGCCTTGTCAGTTGCTATAACCACTTCATAAAGCCACCTCGTTCGCTGCGCTTACTTGGTGGCCTTATTCGGTGGTAATAAGGCCACTACAATACGTCTTTAATGGATAAATACTACAAGTCTTAACACTAGTGTTAGTGCCCTGTATAATGATACGGTCCAAAACGTTGTTAGTTATCCTAAAAACTGACCCCTTTTTGAGGTTACGGTCTGATAACCAATGGCAAATGGAGCCTTCTGATTAGTCAACGCCTTCTGGCTATATGGTAATTATGCAAAACTTATGCTAGTATCTAACATCTATTGGTAGCATCAATGCATGCTCAATGTTCTTATTTTTTTATCAAATAAACAGTTCACCTCCTTCAATCTGTTCTCCCTCCTGGCTGTGATGAGGATCTTTGCTCCCAGCCGGGCGTACTGGTACGCCATCTCTTCGCCGATACCGGTACTGCAGCCCGTGATGACAACCGTGGCACCCCGCAATGATTCTGAAAACCATAGACGTCCACTGCTTGAACTTTTTGGGCACACTTTTGCATGTGTAAAGGTCGGAATGTTTGCTTCAAGATCCGATTTTGTAGCGGCCGTCTTCTAATGATAAAATTAATTTCTTATTCTGCTGACAGAATTATAATTCCGCGTAACTTGATTTGCTGTGTCTCTTCAATGAGTTCGTAGCTACCCACACCTAACGGCATGTTCTTTTGAATACTAGTGACTTACCTAAATAAGTAAAATATTAAACTTGTACCCAGTCCGTAAATGTAAATGTACAGCTTACCAAAGCTGCAGTCTGACAAAATCGCGCTCCTAGCGGTCACTCTTATAATTACCGTGACCTTTTATGGGTCAGATTGTGTAAACACAGACTGGATGTTTGAACCCCGGCACTAACATGCAGTATAGTATAGTATTTCCAGTAAGGGTAAGTGATGAGTAAGGGTAACGCGGGCGACATCGGACTGGGGCATGCCGCCTGTTAGTAGTGTATTGCGGCTTCTCTACGGCTCGTGTATTTTAACCAAGCACACCCGGTCACCCCTATTCTTCTTGATAATTGTGTTTGGTTCTTCTACGTGCAATCGCCACAGTATGTAAGCAAACAGGCAGACAGAGTTATTCGTTGTTTAGCAAAAAGAATGAGAAAGAGAAGTACAAGCCTTATAATTAGTGGTATATTGGGGTTTTCTTTTACACAACCAAACTTCTCTTACCTTGTTTACGTAGATCTCGGTGTCTATCAGGCACCTACTACTAGTCCCCAGAGCGTCACAAAACGTAAGTTAGACAGGTTTGGTTGGGTAAAAGAAAACCCCTATATCCTAAACTTTACCAACTTGATGAAGCTATTTTCGGAAGCCTTACCAGTGTACCTTAATCCATCAAAATCGCTCCTCGATTCCCGCGATTATATCCACGTTGCTAGTACGTGCTTAAACCAACAGGTATCTGGGTTAATACAGGAGGGGGGGGGGGTATTGTTGCAAGACTTGTAACATTGTAAAGTAGATTGAGACTTTACAGTAGGTTGTACTTTACCTGGATCGAAGCCATCATAGTTAGAGTAGACACCAAACCCAACAGCGACCAACACTGCCACAAGACCGGCCCACAGTAGCCGGGACATGGTACAGATTTACCGGGCAGGTACACGATATTTGAACGGGAGGCTTGGGGGTCGTATAATAAGGTCAAAAGGTCAAACACTTCCGCGTCTCGTTCCCAGGATCCGTCGTACAGGTGTATTCAATTTCACTTAGAAAGGTGCGTCAGAGTATACAGTGCAATTTTAAGGAATGCAGCGCAATTTTACGGAATACAGTACAATTTTACGGAATACAGTACAATGGCATTAGTATACAGTACAATTTTACGGAATACAGTACAATTTTACGGAACACAGTACAATGACACTAGTATACAGTGCAATTGTACGGAATACGGTACAATTTTACGGAATACAGTACAATGACACTAGTATACAGTGCAATTGTACGGAATACAGTACAATTTTACGGAATACAGTACAATGGCATTAGTATACAGTACAATTTTACGGAATACAGTACAATTTTACGGAATACAGTACAATTTTCAGAATACAGTACAATTTTACGGAATACAGTACAATCTTACGGAATACAGTACAATGACATTAGTATACAGTGCAATTTTACGGAATACAGTGCAATTTTACGGAATACAGTTCAATTTTACGGAATACAGTACAATCGTATTAGTATACAGTGCAATTTTACTAGTAAATTCGCACTGTATACTATTACGATTGCACCATATTCCGTATAATTGCACCGTATACTCTGGTATACGTACCCCTTTAGAAATGTCCCGGAACTTGAAAGAGAGGTTTTGATCGCATTAACATGTGTCAAGAGAGGCAGAAATGGGCAGATTTGTCATTCGGAAGGATAAAACCTGGAGACAGACATCTGTCCAGGCTGAAACGTAGTGAAAGCGTAACAGGGACACTAGTACCATGGAGTTACTCCATGCTAGTACCTGGTATATTAGCCAGATGCTGTCGCCATTAGGACGACCAGAGTGGCGGGAGGCTCTAAGGTCTGAGGTCTTAATAAGATGGTGTCGGTAAAGAACGAAACAGATTTTACACAGATTTGGGATTGGTTCGTTACGTTAAGGGTTTTATCCTTTTTACTTTCACACAAGCAAGGGCATTACATATATCTATATAATGTCCTTGCTGGTGTGAGAGTAAATAGGGGCAAGGTTTCTAATTGTCAAATTCAAAGTAGAACTAGAGGTGGGAGATCTCATGTCTTCGTCAGAGGAACATTGTTCTAGAGAAATGAACATGTGTATTCTTTACTCTTTTTAATAATCAATTTGGTCTAAAGTACAAAAGAATCTCTCTTTTTTTCATACTACAGAACACCCTGAAAGGGTTCGCCACAGATTTTACAGACGCGCCGTCACCCGTGTTAGACCCCCACCCTACGTTATTTGATTTTGGACTGTTACTGGAAAAAAACTTACAAGAAATTATTTTTACTTAACTGTATTATGATGAAAATTTTACGATAGTGTCGCAAAATATAATAAGAGAAGGAAAGAATCAAAACAGGGCGACTACTGCTGTTTTGTTAATTTATCTTTATGACAAATAGAAGACTTGTTTCTTGTTACACTTGTTACCATGGACAGGTTTGGCTGCACTTCATACGTGACGCACCTTGCATATTTATATAGTTCCCTTCGGGTGGCCACCCTGGTGGTCCCCTTCCCACCATTCACTTAGAACTTGGTTCATGGTGCAAAATCGCATCGGTTGTCATGGTGGTAGGAGATTATAGCGCACCTTTTAAGAAGCTCCCCTCTGAACTGGCGCACGTACGATGACGTTGCTGTTTCTTATTTTGCCGCAACGTTTTAAGCAACTTGTTAAACGCCCTTGTTTTAATACAACGATCTAAAGAAAAGCGTCTTGAAGTAGAGTCGCGAACTCCACTAGTAAGTACCCACTATATAGGGAAGGTCTGTCCATCGTGGCCACTTTATAGTGACCCTTTGAGTACTTGTCTTAATCGTTTTCGCAATTTTCCTGACGTACCATGGTCGGTCACTTTGGTCTTGTTTGACTGTAAATCATACGTAACGAATCTTGCATATTTATATAGTTTCGTCGGTAACCACCCTAGTGGTCCCTTTCCCACCATTCACTTAGTCTTATATTAATCAACGACTGAACTTGTTACATGTTGAAAAATTGCATTGGTTGTCAAGGTACTAGGAGATTATATCGCACTTTATAAGATCAAGCTCGCCTCTGAAGTGACGCACATACGGTGAAGTTGCTGTTACCTCTTTCGCCGCAACGTTTTAAGCAACTTGTAAAACGGTCTGAAGAAAGACGTCTTAAAGTAGGGTCGCGAACTACAAAAGTAAGTATTCAACGGTGTACTTCAGTTTTCGACTACTCTTCTTAGCATTTTAAGATGTTATAGTGGCAGGCGCCATCGGCGCGAGATAAGACTGTTGATACATGTTCATCCTCTTAGGCTTTAACAAGGAGTTAAACGTGTTTAAATTGAACTTAACGTTTAACGATAATTAAACACAAGAGATGTTACCACCTGGACATATCGATAACTGTGAACTTCCTCAGTAGACTGACCCGAGTCGAGGACGTCCAGAGTGACTGGTCGAAAGCTCTATGCATATGCGAAAACAGAACAGTTCTCTTGTTTCGGAGTTTTAACTTTTATATGTACAACGTGCGACTTTATCTCAATAGAAGAAGAAAATTCGGACCCAGCTTTGTTCCAGCTGCTAGTTTACCACCACAAACATTTTTCTTTGCAATGATCTTAGCTCAGTTTAGAATAGCAGAAACAATGCATCTACCCACTGGAGAGGTGTGTTCTTACTGTCAGTCCTTATTACATTATATATTAGCACAGGAGTCAGTGCATAACTACTGTAGAAAACTGTGCAAGAACATGTTTGTGTAGAGAACGTAGCATTCGTACAAAATGTTATCATATGTTAATATTTTTTTGCTCGTTCACTGTCTTTTGAAAGATGTACTAGCTTTAGTAACATTTTAAAAAATGCATATTGGCCGTCTTGCCACCGTGGCCACTTAACTTTTTGGTGACCCCTTATTACATAGTACTTGTCTCTCCCAAGCAACACGAATCGTGTCTATAGTGGACCTGACTACTGTGACCATTTAATTCTCTGCACGTCGCCTGAATAGTCACCATGGACAGGTTTGGCTGCACTTCATACGTAACGCATCTTGCATATTTATATAGTTCCCTTTGGGTGGCCACCCTGGTGGTCCCTCTCCCACCATTCACTTAGAACTTGGTTCATGGTGCAAAATTGCATTGGTTGTCATGGTGGTAGCAGATTATAGCGCACCTTAAAAGAAGCTCCCCTCTGAACTGGCGCACGTACGATGACGTTGCTGTTTCTTATTTTGCCGCAACGTTTTAAGCAACTTGTTAAACACCCTTGTTTTAAGACAACGATTTAAAGAAAAGCGTCTTGAAGTAGAGTCGCGAACTCCACTAGTAAGTACCCACTATATAGGGAAGGTCTGTCCATCGTGGCCACTTTATAGTGACCCTTTGACTACTTGTCTTAATCGTTTTCGCAATTTTCCTGACGTACCATGATCGGTCACTTTGGTCTTGTTTGACTGTAAATCATACGTAACGAATCTTGCATATTTATATAGTTTCGTCGGTAACCACTCTAGTGGTCCCTTTCCCACCATTCACTTAGTCTTACATTAATCAACGACTGAACTTGTTACATGTTGAAAAATTGCATCGGTTGTCACGGTACTAGGAGATTATATCGCACCTTAGTAAGATCAAGCTCGCCTCTGAAGTGACGCACATACGGTGAAGTTGCTGTTTCTTCTTTCGCCACAACGTTTTAAGCAACTTGTAAAACGGTCTGAAGAAAGACGTCTTAAAGTAGGGTCGCGAACTACAAAAGTAAGTATTCAACGGTGTACTTCAGTTTTCGACTACTCTTCTTAGCATTTTAAGATGTTTTAGTGACAGCCATAAGCGCGAGATAGGATTTTTGATACGTGTTCATCCGATTAGGCTTTAGTAAGGAGTAAAACGTGTTGAAATTGAACTTAATGTTTAAAGATAATTAAGCTCAAGAGATGTTACCACCTGGACATTTCGATAACTATGGACTTCCTCAGTAGACTGACCCAAATCGAGGAAGTCCACAGTGACTGGGTGAACGCTCTAGATGAGAACAATTCTCGTATGTTGAAACAAAAGTAGTACATGTATATGCACAATGTGCAATTGCCATGTAGATTTAGGCCCACCTTTGTTCCAGCTGCAAGTTTACCACCACAAAATTTTTTCTTTGCAATGATCTTAGCTCTGTGTAAAATAGCAAAGTCAATGCATCTACCCACTGGAGAGGTATGTTCTTACTGTCAGTCCTTATTATATTATATATCAGCACAGGAGTCAGTGTATAACTACTGTAGAAAACTGTGCAAGAACGTGTTTGTGTAGAGAACGTAGCATTCGTACAAAATGTTATCATATGTTAATATTTTTTTGATCGTTCACTGTCTTTTGAAAAATGTACTAGCTATACCTACCTACCTACCTAATCCTTCGACCGACCTGGTCGTCGGGGGGACACGCATCTAGCTATAGTAACCTTTTAAAAAATGCATATTGGCCGTCTAGCCACCGTGGCCACTTAACTTTTTGGTGATCCCTTATTACTTAGTACTTGTCTCTCCCAAGCAACACGAATCGTGTCTATAGTGGACCTGACTACTGTAACCATTTAATTCTCTGCACGTCGCCTGAATAGTCACCATGGACGGGTTCGGCTGCACTTCATACGTGTCGGTGACGCATCTTGCATATTTATATAGTTCCCTTCGGGTGGCCACCCTGGTGGTCCCCTTCCCACCATTCACTTAGAACTTGGTTCATGGTGCAAAATCGCATCGGTTGTCATGGTGGTAGGAGATTATAGCGCACCTTTTAAGAAGCTCCCCTCTGAACTGGCGCACGTACGATGACGTTGCTGTTTCTTATTTTGCCGCAACGTTTTAAGCAACTTGTTAAACGCCCTTGTTTCAAGACAACGATCTAAAGAAAAGGGTCTTAAAGTATCTGTATCTGTATCTGTATAGCCGGTATAACCGCCTTTCGGCGTAACACACCA